ATGCAGACATGCCCCTGTGACATCACTTCCTGTTTCCTGCAGATGGTGTTTCTTGGCTTCATGGTTTGTGGAGTTTTATCAGGATACATTTCCGACAGATACGGCCGCCGGAAGGTAAGAAGAAAGTCTTTCAAAATAAAAGCATCCGTATATTTCTCTGGTTTGGTATGTTTTTGTTTGTTTCTGTTCCTGTAACTCAGGTGGTGGTCGGAGGCTTCGTGTGGGGCGCCTACTTCTCCCTGCTSACGTCCTTCGCTCCGACCTACGGCTGGTTCATCTTCCTGCGCAGCATGGTGGGMTGCGGCGTGGCAGGCGTGTCTCAGGGGTCAGCTGACACGTTAACCAGCGGCTCATTTGATTGGCTGAGAGGGTTTTAGTGACAAACTTCTGTTTCCTGTTCAGGTTTGTGTTGAAGACAGAGTTCATCCCTGCGAAGTATCGAGCCTTCCTGCTCCCTCTGGCCACGGTGACTTCATCTTTTGGGTTTAATGTTCAACAAAAGAAAAGGTTCAAACAAACTTGAGACGTACGAGCTGTAACAGGTTTGTGTTTCGTGTCAGATCTTCTGGATGACGGGCTCCGTGYTGATTATCGTTCTGGGCATGTTGGTGGTTCCTACCTTAGGCTGGAGGTGGATGATCCGACTGTCCATCACCCCCAGTGTGATCCTCATCTTCCTGTTCAAGGTGGGACCACCTCTCCTCTTTGACACATTTTAGTTTGTAAAATTTAATAATTCTGCTGAAAAGCTGAAGGGAATCAAACTACCCCCTCTGCTGCCTTCTAAYGTTCAAAACAAATGTTGGAGTCTTCACTTCCTGTTTGAAGAGAGAACTCTGAGCTCAGATACTGTGGAAATGACCTCTATACATTTGGTAATGAGCGCGGCTCATTTACAAAACTTCAGCTGAAACCCTGATGAGTTTTAGCTGCAGTTTTAAACTCAGCTGAGCTGCTGAAGATAAACTGATTTAATGTGTTTTATTTTGAATGTTTGTTTTCTCAGTTCATTCCTGAGTCGGCTCGTTACAACGTGTCGGCGGGAAACGTCGACGCCGCCCTTAAAACGCTGCAGAGGATCGCCAAAATGAACCGAGCCTCTCTCCCTGCAGGCCGCCTGGTGGAGCCGGCTGTGGTATGGTTCAGATCTGCAACTTGTTTGGGTTTTATTGTGTCCTGATGACAGGATCTACACCTGGACTATCAGCTTCCTGTTTGTTAGAGAGCAGGCTGGAGCTGGAGCTGKACCCCTAGAAAGGGGGTCCACTGAAAACCCTGGGTTTCTTGTCTGTTTTCAGGCTAAAGGTTGTTTTCCTGTAAATGCTTTCAGAAAGACCGAGGGAACTGGAGAATCCTGCTGAGCTCATCGTGGAGAAGAACCTCCCTGCTACTCTGGTACTCCTGGTGAGACTTTTATTTTGAAGTTTTTTACATTTTACAAACTCACAGGAAGTAGCTGAAGTTTTACTCAACTTGTTTTTGGGCGGCTTGGTCTAGATGTTCATGGTATGTTCCTGGGTCTTCTTTCAGACCGAGACACTTTGGGTCTTCTTTGGACTGGGACACTTTGGGTCTTCTTTGGACTGGGACACTTTGGGTCTTCTTTGGACTGGGACACTTTGGGTCTTCTTTGGACTGGGACACTTTGGGTCT